TCATAAGCAGTGAGAGAATTAAATTTGTTTCTTTTTCGATTATGGGTAGAATCAAACACTCGCTAAAAAAAGATCCACATATCTAAGTAAAGTCTAAAACAAGGCACGTCTGAATGCAACAGATTGCAGCTACCTCTACTAAATCTACCACTATTCAGACAAGTACTGATGCAGATGCAATATGCCCAATTACTAAGAAACTCCTGCAATATAAGACACAGTTTTTACAGACAGAAGAAAGCATTGCTACATCTACTACTGATAGTGCTAATTGTAAACCACAGCCATGCAGAATTATTGTTGACGGTGATTTACTTGCCCAGAGTGTAACTGTGATATAGCGGCTATTCTTGATGAAAAAAAGTGTAAAGGGTTTGCTTCAAGCATGGTGTGGCAGTTGTAAAAATGTTGTAAACAGTAAGTATACAACTGCAAAAGAATCCAGAACAAGGCCATTTACAATAAACAAAGACATCGTCTTAGCATCATTGGCTATAGGTATTGGATCATACAAAATATGCTGCTGTTTCTGCGATAGCAGAATTCAATTTTGGGCCCATGCATATTATGGCACTGCTTTCAAAAGAAGGAAACCATAGTAGAAGAATTTGACAACAGCTTTAGGTAAAAGAAAAGAGTGCCAAAAAAAGGAAACTAGGAGCTGAACAAGCTCAGAAGGAATATATTCAGCAGCACCATACTTCTGGCTATGAATGTGGTCAATTTTAATGACATACAGCGGTAAATTTTCATTTTCTGCAACTTTTTGTTGTTTTTTTTTTGCGTTTTTCTCAGTTTGATGTTTTTTTTTGTACCATTGTTGACATACCTTTGTTAATTATTATCAGAATTGAACTAAATTAGTTGAGATATACATTACTTACAATGAAACCGCATCCGGATTTGCTAAAATGCCATCATACCATATCCTTGACGTTTCCGATCATCATTACTTTCTCGTATATACGAAGTATAGAGAAAGTCTTGTAATCGTGCAAAAAAAAAAAAAATCGAGATTTTTACAAATCTCGACGTTTCACACCTCACTGATACGGAAAAACATAATTTTGCAATCTTGTCCGTATGTCTGTGTGTCTGTCTGTGTGTCTGTCTGTCTGTCCGTGTGTAAACACGATAACTTGAGTACCGTTACAGCTAGGTTGATGAAATTTCATATATAAGTATTTAATCAAAATCGTAGATCCGTATCAACTTTTGAGCGATTTCCGATAACCGGAAGTGGTACTTTTCCTACTTTGAATTTTTCAAAAGCCTATAACCTGAGTACTATTTCAGATAGATAAATGAAATTTCATTTTTAAGTTAAATATCTAATTCTCTACCTTCTGTTAAATTTTGAGTAATTTCCGTTTACTTGAAGTAGTACTTTACGCTACTTCTGATTTCTCAAAAAACTAATGTAAATTTTAAAAGTAATGATAATATTGCGCACTATTATGCGCTTTTTTATTCGGCGTTCACTTGGTGTGCAATTAATTTGTCTACGAGATTTTATTCTATTTTTAAAACTCTAAGTATTTAAAATGGATTAAAAATCATGTCTATAGCCCGAGTTCCCATCCCAAGTTATTTTATATAAGAATATTCGAGAAAGTTTAGGGGAGATCACTCCCGGTTTTTTTTTCATTGTTGACAAAAGCACTTACCAATCAAGTTAGAAGTAATGGCAATCTTTTTCAGTACTGCTTTACCAAGCGTGCAACATCATTCCGGTTTCACTAGCTGTAAGACTATACGTTTTGAAAATGAATTTTTTTGTATAACACATTCAATATTAATTCTTTTAATCATAAATTTAGCACTTGAGCACTTTAGATATATTACACTATGGCGATCAAGTCGATTTTTTAAAACTATTTTCCTCTGTTACCTCGGGTCTGTTAAATAAATAATAATAAATAATAAATATAGTGTTGTTATGTTTTAATTGGAATATACATTTAAAATTATATGACGAAAAATTACCTTTTACGAAATGTTATAGATGAGTATTAGTATTTACATGCTGACATGAAATCCGTGGACATATGGTAAAGTATTTTAGTCGTCCTAGGTAGAGCTCATGTTTCTTAACCTCGGGAAAAGAAGGGAAGGTGTGGTCAGCACTTTACTCCACTTGGGACCCGGATTTGAACGAGAGACATTCGGGTTAGTAGCCAAAATCTCTACCGCTTAGGCCACGCAGTACCATCATTTAACAAGATATTGACTGTAATATCATGCTTATCTCAGAAATCAATAGACCTATCACAAGCTGTAACAGCTCACTTACTTAGTCGTCCTTAGTGTTAGAAGCAATGGCAAGATACAAATATTCACCTCTAATAAAAAAAAGTACGCTTTGTTTAAGTTCTCACTCTGTTTTACTACTCAATATGTCAAACTCATTATCGTTGTGATCAAGTTCTCATTGAGTTCAAGTTCATACTTTGATCAAGTTCTCACTTTGTTCGTCTCTCACTTAGTTGAAGTTCTCATTTTGTTGAAATTCTCACATTGTTCAATATCTTATTTTGATCAATTTCTCACTTTATTCAAGTTCTCTCTTTAATCAAGTTCTCAATTTGATCACGTTTCTCACCGTTTAACTTCTCACTGTTAAACTTCTCACTTTGTTCAAGTTCTAACTTTGTTCAAGTTTTCACTTTGTTCAAGTTTTTACTTTGGTCAATTTCTCACGTTGTTCAAGTTCTCACTTTGATAAAGTTCTCTCCCTGTTCAAGTTCTCACTTTGTTCAAGTTCTCACTGTTAAACTTCTCACTTTGTTCAAGGACTCGCAATTTCCTATCCCACACGAATGTTGATTGTCCCTTGTTCAACAAGCCTTTGTATTGTCCATTATGTACATATTAAATTGCACATTTTGTCTTATCGCCACCCCTCTGCCCGTTTCCCTACTGGTACTTAGCATTTTGTCTAGATGTGGCTCTTTGTTGCAGGAGTCTGAGGAAGCTAGATGTTAAATAACTGGTAACAGACGGAGGAATGACTCACACCCGACCATGTTAATTCTCTGCCTTCTGTCAAATGTTGAGTAAAACAAGAGATTATTGCAGGGGGCGGTCAGTTATTGCAAGGGATGGAAAGTTATTTTCCTCATGTTGTAACAGCCTTTCTAGCCCTTATCTCCTAAAAAGCTCTTCACATTGCATCATGAGACAACACCCAAGCAAGCCTCATATGTTTTGTGTTTTGCAATATCTTTAGCCTGTTATGATAGGGGGAAAACATGTTAAACTTTCAAATTTTAGAGACGAGAAAATATTGATGTTTAGATCAGTGGCGTCGCTAGGTCGAGGTGTCACCCGTTGCGGTACCTTAAGGTGTCTACCCCCAAAAAAAGTCTGTATACAGGCATATATATATATATATATATATATATATATATATATATATATATATATATATATATATATATATATATAAGCCACATACATATGTAAATCTGTGTATACGCATGTGTATTTGTATTTAAATATCGTTTTTGTGCGTTTCATCATTTTTAAAGCTATAAACAAGTTTTTTTTCTCATTAAAGTTATTATTTTCTTAATACAAAAATGGACAAAGTATCCAAAAGTGCAAGAAAACCGTCATGACCAAAAAGCAGAAATTTTGTGATTTTTTTTACGGCGCATATCCCCTAAACATATTATATTGCAAAAAACACAACATGTAATGATAAAAATGATTAAAGGCGTGGAATTTTGTTTTTTAAACTTTAAGCTGACGAAAAGATACAACATGTGTTGCATATTATTGTTTATGGTTTCCATTATTTATTTTGGTCTCTCTCCCATTTTTTTAACTCAATTTATTTACAATGGATTAATACGTTGATTTTCGGCATCTATTACACAATTTTTAATAGGAATAGAAAAATAACCCATTAAACATATCACACATCAAAGATAACAAATCAACTACTTAAACAATCAAATCTACAACTATCGTTCTACGAGTATCAGTCGCTTTTCTCCACACACTTACATACACACACACACACACACACACTTACATACACACACACACTTACATGCACACACTCACGTAGGTTGTGTACAGTAATTTGCCCAATCGAATTATAAGTAGATTTGAAAATTTCCATTGTGGTGCCCCCCCCCCCCCTATTCATTTTCATGGACTGTGTATTTGATGTCATCCTGCAAACTTTTTGTCTAAGTTCCTTAATTTGTGCAAACGTTATATTGATCCACATAGAAAAGGCATTTACGGGTCTAACACTTTCAGTTAATAATTCAAGTGGAAAAATCATTGCATTCATAGTAAATTATTAAATTTGATGTCCGTTCAACCCCCCCCCCCCCCCCCCACCCGTTCGCAGCTTTAAACTCTACGCAGATAATACAATCGATGTTCATCTATAGTTGGTTATAAATACATCTGGATGGTTAATTGTTTTCTATATCGTTATCAGGTATACGTCATAGTGTCACACCCCCCCCCCCTCCCACCTCAATGGGATTTGTCAATTTTTCTCTGAATTAAAAGAATTTTTATCTCTAATTACTTTGTCTAGAATAATGTTTTTACTATATACATATTTTGCTATTTTTGCATTGGTGACACCACCTAAATAGCGTCACCCGGTGCAGTCCAAACATCCTGCATTCCCTCGCGACGCCTCTGGGCTAGATGAATAAATACATTTTGGTCTATGCAGACATTTTTTCCCTAAAAATAAATGTGTTCAATACATTGTTGGCAGAGTTACAATTTTTCAACAACAAAAAATAATTAGCGAGAACAAAGTGAATTCTTTGGCAACACTCTCATAAAGAATACTTGTTATTAATTAGAATATTTTTGGTTGCAACTGTAAATAGAAAACACGGAGGCGGACAACGTTATCTTTACGATGAATACTTAATTGAATATTAATGAATTTACATCTGGTGGAGGCCAAACGCTATATAAATATATCTCACCTAGACATAACTGTACAAGAAACACAAGATTGTTCCTCGTAAGGTCAGTATTTTGTTGTTGTGTGGCTTCATTACTTTCTCGTATATACGAAGTATAGAGAAAGTCTTGTAATCGTGCAAAACAAAATCGAGATTTTTACAAATCTCGACGTTTTACACCTCACTGATACGGAAAAACATAATTTTGCAATCTTGGCCGTAAGTCTGTGTGTGTGTGTGTGTCTGTCTGTCTGTCTGTGTGTAAACACGATAACTAAAGTACCGTTACAGTTAGGTTGATGAAATTTCATATATAAGTATTTTATCAAAATCGTAGATCCGTATCAACTTTTGAGCGATTTCCGATAAACGGAAGTGGTACTTTTTATACTTTGAATTATTCAAAAGCCTATAACTTGAGTACTATTTCAGATAGATATATAAAATTTCACATGTAAGTAAAAGATCTAATTCTCTACCTTCTATTAAATTTTGAGTAATTTCCGTGGACCGGAAGTAGTAATTTACGCCATTTCCAATTTCTCAAAAAACGTATGTAAATTTATAATTTATAATTATAATAATATTGCGCACTATTATGCCCATCTTTATTTGGCGTTCACTTGATGTGCAATTCTTTTTTCACGAGATTTTATTCTATTTTAAAAAGTTTAAGTATTTAAAATGGATTAAAAATCATGTCTATATCCCAAGTTCTCATCACATGTTGTTTTATATAAGAAGATTCTAGAAAGTTTAGGGGAGATCACTCCCGGTTTATTTAAATAATATTTCTATAAGCGTAGTTCTACATTGTCCAAGACTCATGGGGCAGACACGGTAGAGTTCATCTGTTTCACTGACCACGGCATACGACGGGAAAATTGTGGTCAGCACTGCGCCTAGCCGCACGTTCCCTAAATGTGAGTCAGGTACCCATCAGAGCTGAAAGGACTCAAGGATGTCCTACAGACTTGAGCCAGTATCTGTCCTACATTTTTAGACATGATTATTGATTTTCAGTGCAGGCAGGGAGGAGAGTAAAGCTGTCAGTTATAGCGTAGTAGGTTATTTGTTTAAAGTGGTCAGTTGTAAGTGATGAATGTAATCGCTTGAACTTATAAAGACAGTGAAGTCAATTTTTTAACAGTTTAACCGAAAATGACTCTAGATTTATATTTAACACAATGACCTTTTAATCTAAATAAAACGCTCAACCAATATTCTGCACGATGTAGAGCGAGACCTTACAATAGCTGGGTATTAATTATGAAGTATGTGCAACAATCAGATGCATTAACAAGCTTGCCGGTTGTTGTTTTTTTGTTTTTTTCAGTTTAGCCAGAAGATGAATTCAATTCAGTTGTTTGCTATCTTGTTGCTGACAGCAGCGTATGTTGGTAAGTGAATCTCAGGGTTGGAGAGTGTGTGATGTTAAGTGAATCTGTGGTTGGAGTGTATGTGAAGATGGTTGGTGAGTTTGTGATGTTAAGTGAATTTCTGGATGGAGAGTATGTGGTGTTAAGTGAATCACTGGTTGGAGAGTATGTTATGTTAAGTGAATCTCTGATTGGAGAGTATGTGATGATGGTTGGAGAGTATGTGCTGTTATGTGAATCTCTGATTGGAGAGTATGTGATGATGGTTGGAGAGTATGTGCTGTTATGTGAATCTCTGATTAGAGAGTATGTGATGATGGTTGGAGAGTATGTGCTGTTATGTAAATCTCTGGTTGGAGAGTATGTGATGCTAAGTGAATCCCTGGTGTTAGTATGTGATGTTGGTAAGTAAAACCCCAGTAGACAAATGTATTATTTGATGTTTATCGTGTAATATCATCTATATGTATAGTTTGTGGCTATTTCATTGTTGTGGCCTGCTTAAAAATTATCAAATAATCATTACAGGATCACATTCAATCCACCATATTAAAATGTTGATGCTAAGAAAGCTTCACTTTCGGATCTGGCGTTAGATTGTCAGATTTCACCAGCTTCTTTGAATTCGTTTTGTGCAGGGATTGTGTTATGTAGAGTGTGCTATGTAGGGATGGTGTTATGTAGGGATGGTGTTATGTAGGATGGTGCTATGTAGGGATGGTGTTATGAAGGGATGGTATTATGTAGGGATGGTGTTATTTAGGGATGGTGCTATGTAGGGATGGTGTTATGTAGAGATGGTGTTATGTAGGGATGGTGTTATGTAGGGATGGTGTTGTCACCACCCACCTCTGCTTTACCCTTTACGTCATGTACCAATCTAGGACCGACGTTAGAAGGACTTGAACCTGGATCTAAATTTGATACTTTTAATATATTTTATTATGAAGTTTATTATTATTAATGTAAAATGATACAAAAATATCCGGCACTCTCTGATCAGTCAACTCTCCCTCCTCTAGTGTCTCCAGCTGATGCTAGAGTGAAGAGAGCTACAGCCTCGTTAAAAGGTATGATAGCTAACGTCACACAAAGTAGCATAGACTACGACGGTTACGGCTGTTTCTGCTATGGGGGTGCTGGAAAAAAACCTGTGGACGACCTAGACAGGTAACTCACCTTAAACTCAGGTTTAGATTTAAAAAACACATAGATTTACTTTAGATGTTGAAAAACAAAAACAATTCACTTTTATTTATGGAAAACAAAATTCACGACGAATCAATTTTAGCTGTTGTAAACTTTATGACCTTTCACTATTTGCTGTTGTAAACCTCATGGCGATACACTTTTAATTCTGACAAATCTCTTTCAGCTGTTGTAAAGATCATGTTGCTTGTTACAAATATTGCTCGAATAATTTTAAAAGGTGCTCCTCGCCTGCCACCATTTACTACAGATACGATTGTATTTACGAAAGGTGTTTTTGTAGTGAGTTATTTTTCCTTTGTATTTGCTCGCAGTGAGTGATTGAATCTGCACGTAAGCGTTCAAGGTGATTTATTTAAATTAAATGCATGGTTTTACATTGAGTTATCGGACTTTTATCCTTCATGTTATGGTGAGTTACCGTTCCTACTAGCGCCATAAGAATACATCTCAAATTGTTTAGATCATTTAATGCAAACTATCATAAATAACGCCAGCGACAACTATTTAATAACTAACCAAGTAAATAATAGGCCTATATATTTTTAATGTTATACTTGATACTACATTCGAAAATTGCTTTATTTTATTTTCTTCCTTTAAATAAAATTTAGTTTATACATTTAAAACATCCACCATAATATTATTTTCAACAAAAGTCACCGTATCTTTAAGTTCTCCGTATATCGCTGAAGATACTGATCAGGAACATGGATACTGAGAGAAAGAGAGAGAGTGAGAGAGAGAAGTGCGCACATTGGCTTATATATATTAGGATAATCAACAAGAAAATGAACTCAAAATTTAAGGATAGCTGTCTATCACATTATGCTTACTGCTGGGGTAGTCAACATAACAAACATTGAACAACGCACTGAAACATTTAAATAGTAACAATAACTTAACAGCTACATATGTTGTCTATTTCTTGGCATTGGATTGTTTACATTCTTATATATCTGAACTCCTCATCAATGCATCTAATTATTTATGACATTGACGCTCACGTTGTTTCATATTCCAGACCCCGGCGGAGAGTGTGGATACAACACCTGCATTTGTGATCAGATATTAAGTGAGTGTGTGGCCAGCAAAAAATACAATGCCGCCTACAAGAATTACGACAGAAAGAAGTGCTAGCCTTGCTGCGGCTCACGTTCATTAGCTTTACATGAAGCTTGAACAATAAGCTTGCACATTAAGCTTGATCATTAAAACAAAACAGATCAGCTAATGAGTTGTTTTTCTTTTAAGTGTGTTTGTAATGATTGTATGTAGACCTAGCAATAATGTCTTAGCAATGGTTCAATTAAAATTTAGCTCTATACACATACTCATGCACACATACCTCATGCTCACATTTGGACTCTATTATTCATCTTACAAAGGTATCATCCACTGCTGCAATGTCTTTAATGTTCCACCTTGTTGTGTATTGACTGTGATGTCTACTGCCAAAGTTTGTGTTATTTGATGTCTCCCTTCGCCATCATAGAGGAGGCTATCACATGCAGTAGTAGTTCACAGTTTGCAATTTTTGGAAACGAACACGGGTCTGCCTCTTGGTTTGACGACACCTTTTGGTCCATGTCGCATTGCATATAGAATGCTCTCCTAACAGAAGTTGAGATATACATTACTAACAATGAAACCGCATCCGGAATTGTTAAAATGCCATCATACCATATCCTTGACTTTTCCGATCATCATTTTTTCAGTGTTGACAAAAGCACTTACCAATCATGTTAGAAACAATGGCAATCTTTTTCAGTACTGCTTTACCAAGCGTGCAACATGATTCCGGTTACACTAGCTGTAAGACTATACGTTTTGAAAATGAAATTTTTTTTTATAACACCTTCAATAATAAATCTTTTAATCATAAATTTAGCACTTGAGCACTTTAGATATATTACACTATGGCGATCAAGTCGATTTGTTTTTTTACTATTTTCCAATGTTACTACGGGTCTGTCAAATAAGTAATAAAAAATAATAAATATAGTGTTGTTATGTTTTAATTGGAATATACATTTAAAAATATATGACGAAAAATTTTCTTTTGCGAAATGTTGTAGCTGAGTATTAGAGTTGAAATGCTGATATGAATGCCGTGGACGGATGGTTAAGTCTTTGATGTAGCGCTCATATGTTTCTCAACCTCGGGAAATGAAGAGATCGTGTGGTCAGCACTTTCCCCAGCCGCCTTTCCTCCCATTTGGACCCAGATTTGAACTAGAGGCACTATTGGCTGTAATATCATGCTTACCTCAGAAACCAATAGACCTATCACGCACTGTAACAGCACATTTACTCAGTCATCGGTACTATTAGAAGCAATGGCAAGATACAAATATACACTTCTAATTAAAAAAGTACGCTTTGTTTAAGTTCGCACTCTGTTTTACTACTCAATATATCAAACTCGTTGTGATCAAGTTCTCATTGTGTTCAAGTTTATACTTTGATCAAGTTCTAAATGTGTTCATTTCTCACTTTATTAAAGTTCTCACTTTGTTCAATTTCTTATTTTGATCAAGTTCTCACTTTATTCAAGTTCTCACTTAGATTAAGTTCTCACTTTGTGCAAGTTCTTACTTTGTTTAAGTTCTCACTTTGTTCAGGTACTCACTTTGTTCAAGTTCCTTCTTTGTTCAAGTACTCACTTTGTTGAAGTTTTCACTATGTTCAAGTACTCACTTTGTTCTAGTCTCACTTTGATCAAGTTCTCATTTTGTTCGAGTTCTCACTTTGATCAAGTTCTCATTTTGTTCGAGTTCTCACTTTGTTCAGGTACTCATTTTGTTCAACTTCTCCCTTTGTTCAAGTACTCACTTTGCTCAAGTTCTCACTTTGATCAAGTTCTCGGATTTTTCAAGTTCTCACTTTGTTCAAGCTCACACTTTGTTCAAGTAATTACTTTGTTCAAGTTCTCACGCTGATCAAGTTCATTCACTTTGTTGGGGGTTGGCGTGGTCGAGTCGGTAAAGCTCATAGTTGCTAAACCGAAAAGTCTCGAGTTCGAACCTTCTGGCAGATGAGGCTCGTTAGCTGGGGACAGCCACTCTTCTAGGAGAGACTACTCCAAAATCAAACAACTGCTGCCTTGTAGTTTGTTCTTGGTTGGATAAAGGCTATGGATGCAAATCCAAAAAGAAAAGCAGGCTGAAATCGGAGTCAATGGCCTCAATGGCGCAAAACCAGTTGACACCTAATCATTAATTGTGATGGAAGCATGGTCGAGTCGGCAAAAGCTCATGGTTGATAAATTCGAAATAAGTCTCGAGTTCAAACCCTCTGGCAGATAATGGTTCGATCCCTCCCAACACTAAAAATTAAGAACGAAGATGAAGAAGACTCACTTTGTTCAAGTTCTCACTATGTTCAATTCTCGCTTTGTTCAAGTTCTCACTGTCCAACTTCTCGTTTTGTTCAAGTTCTCACTGTTAAACTTCTCTATGTTAAACTTCTCTGTTAAACGTCTCTCTGTAAAACTTCTTACTTTGTTCAAGGGCTCACATCGTCCATCCCCACACGAATGTAGACTGTCCCTTGTTCGACAAACCTTCATATTGTCCAATATGTAAATTTTAAATTGCACATTTTGTCTTATCGCCACCCCGCTGCACATTTCTCTGCTGGTACTTGATATTTTGTCATGCGGCGCTTTGATCAAGGGTTCTGAAAACAATTAGATGTTAAGTAGCTGGTAACAGACGGGGAGATGACTCACACCAGCCCATGTTATACGCATCTTAGGATCAGACAAAATAAACATGATATAAAAATGGAATGCTAAATTTGAATTCTAGGTCATCGATAATCATGTGGGGTCGGCTTGGTAAAGCTCAGAACGGCTGAACTGAACATTCTCTGCCTTCTGTCAAATTTTGAGTAATTTCCGTTGACCGGAAGTAGTAATTTGCGCTATTTCCGATTTCTTAAAAATGCTTGTGAATTTATAAAATACCAATTATATTCGCACATTTTCACACATACAGTTTGGCGTTTTCCTGATGCGCAATTTTTTTTTCTACGAGATTCTGTTTTATTTTTAAAAAGTTTTAGTAATTAAAACAAGAGTTTCTTCCAGGCATTTTTTTCGGCGGAGCTCCACTGAAAAAAGTCTATCGTCCTCTCGAACTGTGTCGGCCCCCCCCCCCCGTAATATACAATTTAAGAACTAATATTTAATACATGAAAAATAAGGAATTTATTAATGTCATTTTAGGTCAAGTAAAAGAGGTTATTGCAATGGCGGTCAGTTATTTCAAGGGGTGGTCAGTTATTTCAAGGGGTGGTCAGTTATTTCAAGGGGTGGTCAGTTATTTCAAGGGGTGGTCAGTTTTTTTCCTCATGTTGGAACAGACTTTCTAGCCCTGATCTCCCAAATAGCTCTTCACAATTCATCATGACACACACCACACAAGCAAGCCTTATATGTTTTGTGTTTTGCAATAACTTTAGCCTGTTATGATAGGGAGAAAACATCTGTTAAACTTTCTAATTTTAGAGATGAGAAAATATTGTCGGTGAGATGAATAAATATATTTTCGTCTATGCAGCAAATTTTCCCCCAAGGATAAATTGCTTCAATACATTGTTGGCTGAGAAACAATTTTTCAAAAAATAAATTGACAGAGAACAAAGTGAATTCTTTGTCAACGCTCCCATAATGAATAATTATTATTAATTAGAATTTCTTTGTTTGCAACAGCAAAAAGAAAACATGGAGGCGGACAACGTTCTCTGTACGGTGAATACTTAATTGAATATTAATGAATTTACATCTGACGCAGGCCCAACGCTATATAAATCTATCTCAAGTAGACATAACTGTACAAGAAACACACGATTGTTACTCGTAAGGTCAGTATTTTGTTGTTCGTTGCTCAATGTTAAATAATATTTCTATAAGCGTAGTTCTACATTGTCCAAGACTCATGGGGCAGACAAGGTAGAGCTCATCTTTTTCACTGACCTCGGTATACGAGGGGATGGTGTGGCCATCACTACGCCTAACCGCCTTTGTTTCCATAATGTGAGTCAGGTACCCATCAGAGCTGATTGGACTCAGTGATGTCCTACAGACAACAGCTGGGTATTAATTATAAAGTATGTGCAACAATCAGATGCATTAACAAGCTTGCTTGTTTTTTTTCAGTTTAGCCTGAAGATGAATTCAATTCCGTTGTTTGTTATCTTGTTGCTGGCAGCAGCGTATGTTGGTAAGTGAATACTTGGTTGGAGAAATAAATCATTACGGGATCACATTCATTCAACCATATTAAAATGATGATGTTCAGAGATAGTAAGCTTCCCTTTTGGATCTGACGTTCGATTGTCAGAATTTACCAGCTTCTTTGAACTCGTGATATGTAGGGATGGTGTTATGTAGGGATGGTGTTGTGTAGGGATGGTGTTATGTAGGGATGGTGTTGTCACCACCCACCTCTGCATTTTTATATATTTTATTATGAAGTTTAATATTATTGATGTAAAATGATACAAAAAAATCCGGCACTCTCTGAGCTGTCAACTCCCCCTCCTCTAGTGTCACCAGCTGAAGCTGTACAGAAGAGAGCTACAATCTTGTTAAAAGGTATGATAGCTAACGTTACAGAAAGTTCCACAGACTACGACGGTTACGGCTGTTTCTGCTATGGGGGTGCTGGAAAAAAACCTGTGGACGAGCTAGACAGGTAACTCACCTGAAACTTGGGTTTAGATGTTAAAAAATAGATAGATTCGCTTTAGATGTTGAAAACAAAAACAATTCACTTTTAATTATGTTAAACAAAGTTCACTTTTAGGTTTCGTAAAAAACACAATGATTCACATGTTGTGAATCTCATGACTAATCACTTTTTTTTTTTTTTAAGGGTACAAAAAATTTTATTAGACAAGAATATGAAGAGTCAGTCAATAATCAATTTAATTCTGACAAATCACTTTCAGCTGTTGTAAAGAGCATGTTGATTGTTACAAGTGGGTCGCAAATAGGGTTAGGGGGTGCTCGCCTTCCACAGTTTACTACAGATACGCTTGTGTCTACGAAAAGTGTGTTTGTGGTGAGTTATTTTTCCTGTGTATTTGCTCGCAGTGAGTTATTGAATCTGCATGTATGTGGTCAAGGTGATTTATTTAAATTGAATGCATGGATCTCGATCCCCTTCAACACTAATAATTAAGAACGAAGAAGAAGAAGAAGAATGGTCATTTGGATGTTTTTTTTAAAGCTAATTTTTTAAGCTAACGTTTTAACTAACATTGAGCAACACATTGAAACATTTAAATAGTAACAATAACTTAACAGCTAATATGTTATCTATTTATTGACATTGGTTCTTTTACATTCTATTTTACCTTAACCTTAATATTTACCTTAACCTCTCATCAAAGCATCTGAACATTTACGGCATAGACGCTCACGTTGTTTCATATTCCAGACATTGGCTCACGGTGTGGGTATAATTCCTGCGTCTGTGATCAGCTATTGAGTGAGTGTGTGGCCGGCAAAAAGTACAATGCCGCCTACAAAAATTACGACAGAAAGAAGTGCTAGCCTTGCTGCCGCTCACGTTCATTAGCTTTACATGAAGCTTGAACAATAAGCTTGAACATTAAAACAAAATAGATCAGCTAATGAGTTGTTTTTCTTTTAAGTGTGTTTGAAATGATTGTATGTAGTCCTAGCACTAATGTTGTAGCAATGTTTCAATTTAAATATAGTTCTCTACACATACTTATGCACACATACCTCATACTCACATTTGGACCCTATCGTTCATCTTACAAGGGTACCATCCACCGCGGCAATGTCTTTAAAGTTCCATCTTGTTGTGTATTGACTGATGCCGACTGCCAAAGTTTGTGTTCTTTGATGTCTCTCCTCGCCATCATAGAGAATGCTATCACATGCAGTAGTAGTTCACAGTTTGAAATTTTTGAAAACGATCACGGGTGTGGAATTTATTGTATCTATCAGTCTGGCTCTTGGTTTGACGACACCTTTTGGTCCATGTCGCGTTGCATATATAATGCTCCACTAAAAGAGGTTGAGATATACATTACTTACAACGAAACCGCATTCGGAATTGTTAAAATGCCATCATACCATATCCTACCTCGGACATTAACCAGCGTATTCCGGCCAGTGCGCGCATTGGTCGGCAAATGTACAAAATACGCTGCCAGTTTTAAGTTCTTCGGTTTTTGGACAAGAGACCCGATGCGCACATGTGGTGGTCAATGCGTGCTTTGGCAGTAATTTGGGATTGACAACAATACGATGATATATTGTGCTTATACATTTTCTTTTTTACTTTCTCGTATATACGAAGTATAGAGAAATTCTTGTAATCGTGCAAAAAAAAAAAAAAAAATCGAGATTTTTACAAATCTCGACGTTTTACATCTCACTGATACGGAAAAACATAATTTTGCAATCTTGTCCGTATGTCTGTGTGTCTGTGTGATAACTTGAGTACCGTTACAGCTAGGTTGATGAAATTTCATATATAAGTATTTTATATATAAGTATGTTATCAAAATCATAGATCCATATCAACTTTTGAGCGATTTCCGATAACCGGAAGTGGTACTTTTTCTACTTTGAATTTTTCAAAAGCCTATAACTTGAGTACTATTTCAGATAGATAAATGAAATTTCACATGTAAGTAAAAAAAAAACTAATTCTCTACCTTCTGTAAAATTTTGAGTAATTTCCGTTGACCGGAAGTACTAATTTACGCTATTTCCGATTTCTCAAAAACGCATGTAAATTTATAAAGTACTAATAATATTGCGCACTATTATGCACATTTCATTCGGCGTTCACTTTTTGTGCAATTTTTTTTCTACGAGATTTTATTCTATTTTAAAAACTGTAAGTATTTAAAATGGAGTTCCCATCCCCTGTTGTTTTATATAAGAATATTCGAGAAAGTTAAGGGGAGATCACTCCCGGTTTATTTTTTCATTTTCTATCTTTTGCTTTTGGTTCAAAACCTTTCAGTGAAGCATAACTTACTTGCAAATGTTAGATTAACATTCAGATCAGAAGTGTATTCATTCTGCATTACCTTGCTAAAAAAAGTAAAAATGCTAGGGAAAGTAAAAGAGGCTTAGCATAGAACTGACCATACCCCTGTATAGATGAGTTACCGCTACCGGGTGAAACCCGACCTAGCGACTTCACTAGCTTTGAGTATTGCATATTTTAATAATTAATTAACCATTCAAGAGCAAAAAGTAAACATTCTACCGTAATGTATCAACATGAATCAACATGAATACGGTTTGAATATATCATGCCTGACGTTTCCGATCATCATTTTTTCATTGTTGACAAAAGCACTTACCAATCAAGTTATAAACAATGTCAATCTTTTTCAGTACTGCTTTACACAAGCGTGCAACATGATTCCGTTTTCACTAGCTGTAAGACTATACGTTTTGAAAATGAAACTTGTTTTATCACACCTTCAATATTAATTCTTTCAATCATAAATTTAGCATTTGAGCACTTAAGATATATTACACTATGGCGATCAAGTTGATTTTGTTTTTACTATTTTCCTCTGTTACCACGGGTCTGTCAAATAAAGAATTGAACTTTATATGTTAGATAAATAAAATCAGTATGTATTTTAAAATTACCATAGCTGTGTTGACACGTGTCTATGTAAATGATCATTTAAATAGAAGTATTTTAACACATGTATATCATTTTAAGTTGGTGTTTTGTTAAAAACGTAAAGTATTGAAGAATGTTTCATTTATTGTATTATATTAGGGTAAATACAAATTTAGATTCAAAATAAAAAGCAGAACGAATACGGCAGCTAAAACAAGCTTAACATTTGCTATCAATGAAGTAAAATTTATGATAAGAAATAAATGGTAACAATTGGATTTATTAAAAACTAATATTCTCTACAACTTTACCAAGTAAAAATGTACAACCTTGCTTATAATACGGTATATTTCTAAGAGGACAATAGATATCACTTATAATACAACTTGTACAGACCAAAATGCAATTAGGTAAAAATGCAAATTCCTTAATACTGAATCGGCAATACAAAAACATAATACTTTCACAATAGCTAAATTGATCCACAATATAAAACAACAAACGTCAATGAGAGGCTGAACTGAATTAAAGCATTTAAGATTGACTCGTTACAAATTACTGAAATGCATTGTAAAGACGAGCTATTAAGAGTCAGTATTGATTGTTAAGCCAAAATGTCGTGGTATATTTATGTATAAAGACACTGAGAAATGTTTTGATACGATGTAAAGGAACAACTAAATGATTATCACATCAACCAGCTGGGTTTGGTTGTCGTTTTCAACAGGTATTTTAATTTTTCAACGCTGAATTTTTCTATGTTGTGCAGTTAGGCATCTCACACAAGATTAGTGACTGCCAACTAAGAGTCAAATGGGATTATGATTATTGTAATCCTCACGTTTTCAAGTAAGTTTTACTTCAACAATTTTGTTTTTCATCCCTGTTGTCTCATGCTATCATCAAATACTCTCGTTTACTTTATAATATAGTTTTCTTTTTTTTAAATTATAATATAAATTTTAAAATAACGACAAAAGAGTTCACGTTGTGAAATGTTGTAGTCAAGTATTAAAGTTGACAAAAATCTGACATGAAATACGTGGACAGATGGTTTAAATCTGTATGTCCTCCTATTGTCTGTATTGTATTTTAACACATTTACCCAGTTTATACGACATTGCGAAGAGTAATTTGAACGCTTACACAATAGTTTAAATTACTGCCTGGCCACATAATGTTAATATATGATAGTTGATAATCTACAATATTGTTTAATGGCAGTTGATGTTCTTTGGTGTGAACAAACGAGGTACAAGTTCACATTGCGTGACAAGAGTGACGTTACAATGCTACCACTGAACGTGCATCACGGTACCGATGGAGTGCTAGACTGTACTGTCACATGCTTACACAGCAACAACAACACGTGCAACAACTTTATGTTTGATGACGTCAGCAGGGCGTGCTACCTAGGTGGGTGCAAAGTTGTGCTCTTTTGGTTCTTTTTTAAATTTAAATTAAAATAAATTTTAAATAGACCTATATTAAGATAATATTGTTATACAGGTTTCAATATTTTCACTCATTATATAATAATCCGGAAAAAAAATAATTGCTCACGTAGGCGGCAAAGTGTGAGTTTTATAACAGAAGAACCTTATGAATGACGTATTTAATACAAAACGTATACATGTTGATGTAGTTTTTTTAGTACCAATGTTGTAAATGTTAACACTAATATACTTTTTAACACTTCTAACTATTTTGTAGCAAACTTTCCACTATACTGTGCGTTGCTGCTAGCTGGTCAAACAGAACAATGCATAACTTACTTGGCTGTAAACAGTTTTCTTGACAGATTGTTACTTTTTATCGATTCGCAGACTTTTCACAGTATACGTCGTGCGATACCCAATTATTAACAGTTTGTAGAATGCTAAAAAAGTAATGTTGCTGGTGCAAATAAGGTATTTAACACAATACAATTATTGGCCCTATATCCATACCAAAAAATTAACTATCAAGAAAATGGGTTTACATTTTTGTATCAATATATTGTAAATTATTGTAATACTTACAACGCCATAGTAGACAACTTTAAACGCTCTTAGATTCTACCA